TGATTCTTAATTCTTTTAATTCTTAAAATCTTTGGCTGGCCTACGTATCCAACATATCGCATCATGTGACAGACTGACCGGGATCTGTAGGATACGCCCTCTTCTGTGCATTATTTCAGGCCTTTATAATAGGCCTATTAAGGTCTATAAATTATAGTATATATGTTCACTCTGCCAAATGTCGACTTCGATAACATAGTAGTTCAAATCATACCGTTGATGTAGCGATAGTTAATTAGTTTCAGTATTGGCAGGATAACTGTGATTATAAGAACTTCATCGGGGTCCTTAACTTCCTTAAATAACAAAGAGCACTTGCAAAAATATGGTTTACAGGGAACAGTTAAATTACAATTTAACTGTTCCCTGGTTTCTTATAACCATGGACCTATTAATAGGTCCATGTTGTAACCGGTTGTTTACTCGATCTTAGTCAAAATAAGTAAATCATCGTAATTAGTGTAATGAATTTTTTTGTGATTCATATTCGTGTCGAAATTCTAATATTAGATTACATAAGTTTGACACGAAAGTAGAAATGTGTGCACATCCTGTTTCATTATTATGTTCTTCCTTGATTGTCAGATTAATCATACTAAAATTTACTAATCTCCCACAGGAGGACGGGAAGCTTTGTAAAGTGCTTTCAGTGCTAAACAACTGAAGATCGAATCGAAATGGTAGTAGGCCTACATTTACCAATGGTGGGCACGACAAAGTGGGTTACAAGATGGCATGGGGTGGCGCCAGCACTTTTCCGACGAGGTTCGACAAGAATATAAATGGGCTCTCGGGTCGTCACTCAAAATCCTTCGGAAGTGACCACTGGCTCCACTCCCTGGGCATAGGTACCGTACGATTTGGCAAGAACAAAAATAAAGAACTATGATAGGAATTGCCCTATTATTTAAAGTGATAATATTAGCAGCAGTCGTCGCTTATGCGAGCCTCTGATTTATTTGTGGTTAGGTACAGTAGGTCATTAAACCCGGTACAAATACGTACGTAACTGCATTAAAATCTTCCTTCCTGTACATTACTCTGTACTCCAATATTATTAATTTTGGTAGTATGCACGTGGCTTGTCCTGGAAACGTAATTTCCATTTGTCTTAATCCAAACATCCTCGCTCGATGTGTACCTCACCCAAATATGGGTGTGACGAATTGACTAATCAATTAGGCATATGTACAGTGAAAAGTTTTATTATAAGGTACATAAAACCAAAATAAGAGTGGGGTGTATAGTGGTTAAGAAGCTTGCTTTCCGATCTTGGGTTCAAATCCTATAACAGCAGGATTTTTTTCTCAAGACTGAAATCAACTCTACTCTATGAAATAAATGAAATAATAAATTTAAAAAAATATATAAAATAATGAAATTATAAAGAGCATAATTGAGCCCTGCTGGGTAACAGCAGATCTATACTGAAGAGATTGAACAATACAAAGAATTATTATGTTATGGACCTCAGACCACTAGTTAGAGACAGACTCTTTGTGTAGTGTAGTGTCCATAGTCAACGGTTGTTTTGAAAACGTTATTAGAGAAGTTTGAAAAGCAGAATGAGAAAACGTTAAGTTCCTCGAAGTTTAACAGATGCGTAAATAATGCTGCTCATACAGTCTCTAAAACGCGGTCTGGTAATATACTTTAATATTTAAAAATTTTCGTAATATCACTTTTGACAATCTTTATGGCCATTGTTTCTAAATGAATCATCTTCTACTTGCGCATGATGTACGGTAGGAATAATCGCATATAATCAACTTGCTATTATTAATTGACTGTAAAAGTTGTATCAGGGTCACCAACGAGCAAGTTAACCATTTGACCCCCCACCTCTATTTACACTCCTGGGTGAAGAGAGGCAGACGTCAGTAAAGTGTCTTGCCCAAGGACACAAGCAATGCAAGGTGCGCCGGTGTCGAAGTCCCACACAGTAAATTATTTCATCTTTTAAAATGATAAATTCCATTGTTTGAAGGATACTACCACAATCGTATCTCTCAAAAATAAGTGTCATTTTCAAATATTTCCGAACCAATGAACATTATATAAAGGAAATTTACAAAGTAACTGCAAAAACTGGTAATTCACACATAAGCTACACTTTATTTTTTTATATACATTTATTAATTATTTTGTGTATAATCTTAAAACAATAATAATAATAATAACAATAATAATAATAATAAAATAATAATAATAATAATAATAATAAAATAATAATAACAACACCAATGATAAAAAATAACAAAAAAGACAAACAATTACATAATATTATTTATAATGATGATAATAATATTAAAATAATAATAATAATAATAATAAATAATACCAATAACAAAAAGTGTGCAGGAGATCAAACACTGGCATATCTAGGAGTCTTAAAATGGGAGTACTGATAGTGGGCATGAAGGTGAAATGGGGGTTTGATGATTAAGTGGGGGGGGGGAAGAGAGGCTAGCTCACAAAAAGGTTTTATATATATATATATATATATATATATAAAATTCCAGAGCCATGAACATTACCAATCGCTGGTACACTACAACTCAAAGGTCATAAAATACTGTAGAACCTTGAATAGAAGCCCACATGGGCTTAAATCTCGAGGAGATCCCATCTCGTATTGAAGCCCCCTTCTTTATAGTTGGCAAAAGTAGCCTCGAAAAGAAGCCCATATGCTTCTTTTCAAGATAGCATCTCAAAAATAAGCCCATCTCGAAAAGAAGCCCATCGAAAGTTCACAAAAAAAAAGTAGTCCAGGGCTTTTATTCAAGGTCTTACGGTATTGTTTGATGTTATTAATCAAAACGTTATTCAAATCAAGTTTACTTAAGTAAAATTTAATATTTTCAACTGTATACAGCTGCAAGGTATTTCTATCAGAAATGTTTTCATTTTTATCTTCTGTTTGATTAAGAAATTTGAAATAGACGGAACCCAAGGAGGGACATTTTTAAGTGGATGGGCTAAACCACCTCAGCCCCACCATGTTTGGAGCTCAGGTACAAAATATATAGATATCACACCTCCAGATAGCACTCTTAGACTTGCATCTCCACATTTGAAAAACTTTCATAAATTTTGGGGAGGTCTTGGCTGGCTGAGTCCCTTCTGGAATCTGCTTACTATCATGAAAAATAATGAAGGATTTCCAAGGCATGTTTTTAAAAAATAATTTCAAATTTTTGTCTGCTTTTTGTTTGTTTTTGTAGGTTTTTTCAGTCAATGTTCTGAAACTCCTGGGTGTGGGGAATATTTATAAATAGATAAAACAACTGAGATTTTTTTGTAAATTAAAAAAATATACAACATTTAAATTATTCAATTTAAAACATTCATATTTATAATACATAATTCAGAATATATATTTGTACTATTTTTACTTTTTTTTGAGAGATGTATGTTATTTGTAAAGAGTAAGCTTTATATATCCGGTGATGACACAGTCAATAATCCTGTGGTCTTGAGGCAATCAATCCCACCATGCATCACACACACCTTTGGGAAATCCAGACGGACAAGCTGTGTTGCAAACTGAAAGATGAAAGACACAAGAAATATAATTATGCTATAGTTTATTATTAATGATGATGCTGATGATGATGATTATGATAATTCTAATGGCGTTTTGCATCAAGAGAAATACTGCAATTCGAAATGATGTTTTCCCTTCCTGACGTGTTATATGTACTGAATGCTCAGTGATATCTAGTGGTTAAGACATCAGGCTAGTTACTTGGAGGTTGTTGGTTCGTTTCCCACCTGAATCACTTCCAAGACTTTTTTCGCAAACATTTGGGAATGTACTGAGCATTCAGTACATATAACACGTCAAATAGGGCAAACATCATTTGGGATTATGATAATGTTGATGATAAGGATAACATCGATGATGAAGATGATGATGATGATGATGATGATGATGATGATGATGATGATGATGATGATGATGATGATGATGATGATGATGACGATGATGATGATGATGATGATAATGAAGGTGTTGGTGGTGGTGGGTGATGATAATGATAGTAATTTAAATTTTTTTTTTTTTAAATTTATGATTATTATTATTATTTATGAATGTATATAAACACATGTATTAAAATCATTTCTTATTTCACAACAATAAAAAGTGTAAAAACAGAATAAAGAAATATATAATAATTATATAAAGCAAAAATATATATAACTTTGGCATTAATGTCATTGATGATCTGTGGCACATAATTTCTCTGTTTGATGAAACATTTTTTTTCCTATTATTCTTAATACATTTCTAAGACGTTCAGCCACATAACATGCAGATCCCATGAGAACAACCTTTGGCTTCGACAACTGGCAAGTACCCAAATATAAGACAACAACGGAAATACCCTCTCGTGTGGATTTGCATAGGCTTACAGAATGGCGAGTTCATCCTGTCATCTTCAGCAGAAAAGCTAATACAAAGGAAACAAAATGATAATGGAACACTATTGAATAACTCACATTCGATGCATTCTTTCCTCTATTTCCAACAATGACAATCACTCGTCCCTTGTGCTGGTGTAAGGCTGTTACGGCTGGGCATTGAACAAGGTCTCCCTCTGGAGAGAAAGCTGAGTCAAAAGGTATATTGTAGCTTCCAGGAATCTGGCCCCTCGCAAAGCTATACAAGAAAAAGTTAAGGCAACACGCAAAATATTAAGCCTTTGCTATTTAAAATGAATTCAAGCCAAAAGTATTTAAAAATACCCGGATATGAAAATCATTCATGCAATTAAATAATTAATTTACTTTAAAATAAAAATTACACAAACAAACCAAAACCTAAAACAAAATGTAGTGATGCTGCAAGAAATGACAAGACCTAAATTAAAAGCTTGGCTTGCAATGATTCGAAGGGGAAGGTCATTTGGCGCAGCAGTTTTCAATGTGAGTTTTTACCTTGTGGTCTCAAGTTCTAACCACATGTTGTCAATTCTCGGTCAGCCATGCTTGGATACCATCCTTGCATTGTTGATGGCCGTAAAGTGTTTCACACCTTGGCTTAGTCCTGGATGCAAGTGTAATTTTATGGCATTTAATTAATAACTACAACTGGCTTCCATGGGCCTTGTTTGGGGTGATTTTAATGTAGAAAAAAAACAATATGACAATGAAAATTAACACAAAATTATAAAGTGGAAATTACACAAGAAGAAATGACAGTCATTGTTTCATAAATAATGTTTTGCTATCATATGCAGTATAGTATATTACAATGCACAGGGTTGTAGCTATAGAAATCTAAGGGTGGATGGTAGACATTTTAAGAGTGGGTGGGTGATAACATTGGTAATCTCTAAATAATAAGAGCAGATTTTAAGGATGGAAAATTGGGTTAATACGGGTAAGTGGAGGGCCATGAAATTAGGTTTAGAATTAAAAAAAAATTTAGAAGAATGAACTATTATTACTTAGACAAGGTGAAAAATGTCGAGGCTCAGTGACCCCGCCAGCCATAACTACATCCCTGAATGAAGGGTTGTTTTACTGGTAGATAGCTTGGTGGTCATTTTGAGATGATAAATTGAATTCTTACATAATTCATGGATTTTTTTTATAGTCTAAACCAGTAAATGTTGAGGTAAAAAAAAAAATGTAATAAAAAAAAAAACCATATGAAACTGCCTATTTCAATTAGACAATAAAAATAACTTAGATTATATTCCTAGTTTCAAAATATAATGTAATTTTGAAAAAATATATTATTTTCTTTTTAAAAAATGAATATCAAATATCTTCAAAATTCATATTAATGCATTACTAAGACTTCTACTGTATATATATTTCCAAAGGATACTCTTCACTACTCCGCACATCGACTATTAGTATCATCGGTTTGCCAGATTTCGTCTTTTTAGTCGGGCTACGCGAGGCCATTCCACGCAAACCGCAGAGCTCTAGCAGATCCTCTGCTGATATCCGTGGGCTCTTCTCCGACTTCAGCTCTTGGAGGGTCATAGCTTCACGAGACTGGAATGAAGAAATACTCAGTATACACCTATTCATATATTTATCTATTACAGGTCTCCCTCTGATTAAAGATCCCTTCAATTAAAGACCATTTTTCTTCCCAAACTAAGAAATGTCTAAATAATAAAAATAATAATAATAATAATAAATTTATTTTTAAAAAGAAAAACTTGAATCACATAATTGTTTTTTTCTCAAAGTCATTTTGACTTTAAAAGAGCTGCAATGGCATGAACAAATTACTACATATTATAAAAAGATATACTCAAGTATACAAACAAAATTAAATTATATTATCTTTATTATTCATATCCAAAAAAGACCATTATTTCATTCACTTAAGAGTCAGCTGACCTCCTAGGATAGGCTGGAAAGGTCACTCTCTATAACTATGATATAAAAACTATTTTTTAAAAGAGCTGCAAAGGCATGAACAAACTTCCAGCGCTAACTATATCAAAAATGTATATTACACACAGATACATTCAATCTTAAAACCTGTACATATTAAATAACTGTCTTACCAACTCGGAACGTGGAACATCATGGCAATCAGTACTGTAGTAAGAAACAGGTTTAATCTGCGAGTGAGCGCTATCAGCCAAGACGCCTCGCGGTGGATGCGCATGTTGACGGTAAGCAGCGCTCTTGGGGATGCCGCAAAATATCCTGATGGAGTCTTTTACACACCTCTCTATATCAACTTCTACGGAAAGAAAAGAAAGGATAAAACCAAGAATCAAGAATACTTAAATGTCATCAATCAAAATGGTCAACAACCAATTGAAAGAATTTTTTGTCACAAATACTCAAAAGAATCAAGAATCAATCAACCATGACATTAATGAAATTTGTTTTGCATGTTGCTGGAAAAATCCTCTAAAATACAACAAAGGATAAATATGTATATACACAGAGTATTACAAGTATGTTTACAATTTCTACGGAAAGCAAAGAAAGGATAAAACTAAGAACCAAGAATACTTAAATGTCATCAATCAAAATGAGCCAGACAACAACCAATTGAAAGAATTTTTTGTCACAAATACTCAAAAGAATCAAGAATCAATCAACCATGACATTAATGAAATTTGTTTTGCATGTTGCTAGAAAAACCCTCTAAAATACAACGAAGGATAAATATGTATATACACAGAGTATTACAAGTATGTTTACAATTCTGTACTGATAAAAGTACTGTAATAGTAATTCTAATATCTGTAAAAATGTTAATGCCTAATTTTTAGATGAAGTACTGTAATTGTTGTTCTGTGGCTGTTCACAATTCTTACAACATAATTTTAATTGTTTTCAATCAAAACTAACAGAGGTAGTACGGTAACCTCCACTAACAGGTTTTATCTACACATTTCAATTATCTAAATAAAGAATCACTCTTGGTTTTAACAAAATAAAATAAGTAAGTAATTTATTTGGAAAACTACACTCTTTTAACAGTGGCACACTCCAAATTTTGAAGGTGCGTCCTAAAGAAATACAGTACAAAATTTAAAAAAACTTTAAAACAATGCAACAGACATCAGAAAAGAAAAGGCAAAAAAAAAAAAAAAAAAAAAATGACCAACCAAAGATAATAAAATAGGAATTAGATTTGTTCAAAAAATCTTAGTCCTTTTTTCTTAAAAAAAAATTTTTTTTTTATATAGTACTTAACAATTGCAGTAGTATTAGTAACATTTTGTTTTTTGACTGTATTGTATTTGTCGATAGTTGAATTTAATAAAGTATAAATTTAATATTTTTCTTGTATTCGAAATGAAATGTGGACAGTAAAATTTAATTGCATAAGTAAATTTCCCAAACCTGGCATGTCAGAAAAGAGCAAAATACACTCATTGAATCCACTGGCTAGAAGGCCAGACCTCAGCTGCTGTAGGATTGCAACCCCAATGCATAATGGGAAGGATGAATTGCCTAGCAACAGGGTATCCCACAAATGAAAGAGCTTATGTAGAGGAAACACATCTGCGAAGGAAAAAAGACAGTTATACTCATTGATTATGAGTGCAATAGTTTAGAATATTGCATGAGGTGAAAAATGTGGTCAATGTTCTATTCAACAAGGCATAAAACTGTAGCCTTATCTAGGCTAGGTCTAGGAACAGGCCCGGGATTTATCAATCTCAGATTAGCAAATGTCTTAAGTCAAAAAAGGTAATCTTGGTGCATGCGTACAATTGACTTTTTAATTTTAAGCAATTTTTAAGCTAAGTGATATTGATAAATATGACTTAAGCAAATAAATGGACTTAAGATGAATTTAAGTTAATTTCTTGTTTGATAAATCCAGTCCCAGGTCCTTTACCGCAGCTGAAGCAAGCAAAATACTGCATACAAGTTCAGCAAAATCTATCAAAACTGCTACAGTGTACTGCATACAATATTTAGAGATTTTTTTATTTTATTTGGGAACATGTTTGATCAGCTTTTGATCTCATTCTTCGTTCTTGAGCACAATCGGGCCAGTGCCAAGGACCTGCATCAGTTACACGAAGCAATGCCTGCCGGAAATTATATAAATAAATATAATACTCACGGGCAAACATCGTCAGGAACCAGGGTATTGCATATAGCTCTGGGATGAACCCAATACTTTCCATATGGTTACTTAGCTCAGGGTCATGGAAGGTGATAAGATGTGAGAAAACTGCAAGGTATTCTAAAAGTTGTAGAAAACAAAACACAAAATTATTTCACTATCATAACCATCATTACTATCCTAATCATTTTTATTAAATCATATTATTTTTGACCGATAATAATTAAAACAATTTTGCTACTAGTTTCTGTGCAATACAAAGCCATTTTGGATGTTGATACTGTAGGAATCCTATATTGATTACCTCCGCCAAGGAGGTAATGTATTCACCCCACCTGTCTGACTGTTAGCAAGATTACGCAAAAATAAATGGAATCATCATAAATATAGTGGCATGGTACATAATAATCTCAGAAAGAGATGATTAAATTTTGGGAAGAACAGATCACAGGCCAAGTTCACAGAAATGCAAATTTTTACTCTTAAGCAAACCGTTTAATGGAATCACCATCACACAAGGCCTGTGTATTGTTTAGGAATCAGGGAAGAGGGAAAATAATAAAATCATTCATCTTTCCCAGTCTGCGTATTGTTCGGTATTCAGGCAGAGGGCGGAGGTATGCACTGTGTTACTCTAATGTCTTCATATTATTATATTTTGTGTATTTTAAACAGCAATTATTTAATTTTGTTCAAAAGTTACTTTGTATATTCTAATCTTCTGAATCGTGTGTCATTAGCATTGAATTAGTTTTTGGCTAAAAGATCTTGTTCACATACCTTGGATTATAGCCGAGTTATCTTTCAAAAAGAACTTGTACAGGTACTTTGGTATGAAGGCTGAGAGGCATGCATACGCTAAAGCTGTTAATAAGTACAATAGTATATAAAACTTATTTGCTTTCAAATAATTGCTCTTGTAATACTGTTGACTTGGACAAAAATTACAATAGATCTACTTCTAACTTGAGTATAACTTTACTTTTAAAGGCTGGAGTCTGATTTTAAATCCCAAGTACTTTCATGTATACAGAAATAATAATACAAAACAATATGCTATACCTTCATTGTTGAAATTTAGATAAAGAAATGGTGCACAGAGTGAGTCAAGACCTGTAAAGACAAGCATACAATAACGCCATTTTGTTGCATGTTTCCGTCAAGAGAAAAAAGAATCTTTTACTATCCTACTGTAATATAATATGTAACATAAAACTGGTAATATTTTCCAAGCTAAAAAAAGTTAAGTTAAAACTCGCACAGTAGTACCTGATAGTGCTCTACCTACCTTGCCAATAGACTAAGTCCGGGTGTGAGACTACCCATGCCTTGAGGATTCTCTTAAACTTGTGGTGTGCAGTTGGAGAAGACAAAAGCTCTGAGTACTGGTGACAACGAGGGATATCCACCTCAATTTGACGATCTGTTGATGTTGGCGTGTCTTTATCTATTGAGAGGTACCTCTCCATGTAGTCCCCCTAAGTTTGTGAAAATTTTAAAGATGAACATTAATTTCACTTTTAACAGAAAAAAGACCCTTTGGATAAATTTAGCACTAATAATTGCATCCTGACTCATTCACCTCATACCAGGAACAAATGTTTACACCATGGTGAAGAGAGGAATGGAGATAGTGTCTTCCCCCAAGGAGAGAAGCAGTGTGACAAGGGCCAGCAGTGGCCTATCAATTCATCAACTGGAATAGATCTAATTAAAACGTGTTCGAGTCTTTTCTTAGACAATTTATGGTATTTTGTGTTATATGACAAAATTTTTTAGCTTGTGTTATTATATAAGCAAACATTATTATATAAACAATATTATCTTGCCAAATATGTTTTTAATTTTTAAATGCAAAGTATTTTACCAAAGATATGAAGCATTATAAAGGTATAGAGACTTTTGGACCCTTTGTTAAATATTAGAAAGCCAAAGTTATAACCAGGGAGATGTAAAACATTCTCATCTGTCCTGTCCCTGTTATAACCAGAGTCGATTTTGCAGCATGGGTGATTTTTTTAAATTTATTTATTCAACAATATTTTGAGAGGGTAGCTCAAACAGCAATGCTACAGAAATTATGAAATTGCAAATCAACCTTCAAATTTAATTGTCGCTAATATATTTTGAAACAAATTTTTTTCCTGTCTGTGGGCTAGTAAAATATTCTATGGGCTAGTAAAATCTCTAGTAAACTAGCCCAATGGGCTAGTTACCAAAAAAAGTTAGTTACCTCAATAACAAGAAGACCTGCCCAAATCTGGTTCCTAAAGAGAGGGCAACTATCAACTCTTGCCTCCTTGTGGATTTTATTAACTGTGTGAGGATAGCCTTTAAGAAGCCGTTCATACAACACGACTCTATGAAACTGAAATTAAGAAAAAAAACAATTCATTATCATGATCATCATTATATACAGTATATGTCATATGTATCATCATCCCCATGCCCATTTTGATAATGGGTTGGACATTTCTTCATTTGATCTCCAAGTTCATCTGTCCTGAGCTAATTACCGACTTAGACCTTTTGCCCTAAGGATGACTTCCTCCCATGATTTCCGGATTCTGCCTCTACTTCTTCTACCTCCATAATCCTTACAATTTGTAATTCTGACAAAATTAGGCACATGAAATGTCATTTATCCGGAATTAATGGAAAAACATATAAAAAGTTGTACAGAGTGTTACTACAATGCTTGCCTATAGACTTCAGCAAATAAAACCCACTTCCTAAATCCCCTTAAAACCTCATTTAAGTCCAGAAATTGTTATAGTGTGGACAGAGCTTAAAGCTTGATCAGAACATGAAAGCATGTGGTGTGGCATATAGCTTAGAGCTACTGTACTTGACAGACACAGGGGTGTCGAAGAAGGCATCCCTCCCAACTCATTTCCTGTTGCGAACTTTTCCTCGAGAATATGACCTTTCTTTATTTAAGAGGAATGTGAATTAATTTCTTTTGCTCCACTAAGAGATCTTTTGTAGCCCATCACCAAGAGTGGCTCTTAGCCTTCTTTTTTTTTTCTAGCCAATCATCAAGAGTGGCTCTTAGTCTTCTTTTGTTTCTTATTATTATCATTATTTCAACATACAAGAGTGGCTCTTAGCTGGTTTAATCAGTTAATTTACTTAACCTAGTCTAACTAAAACCAGTTAACTGGTTTAACCTACACTAACCAATTAACTGGTCTTACCTGGTATAGGATTAATTCTTTATAGCCTAACTTCACAATTCTTTGAATGAGTTAATCAATTTCACTTACCTGGTACTCTATGTCCTTTTCTCTGATGATCAGTGGTAGGTTAGCTGTATTTGATATGCTGTTATCACTTGCAGAATGTGGTAAAGTACCCATACTTTTTCTGTTCAAAGAAAATTACAAATATTTTAAACAACATGCAAAATTGTGGCATGATAGAATATTATTATAACAATAGTAAAATGTTCATCATACATAAGCACACATTTTCCTGGTCATTGGATCAAACATATATGGAACACATACTTAGCTCCAAGGTGAAATTTTGCAGCTAATAATACCTTGCCTAAGGCTTGAGATCTTGGATCAAACCCAGTTCTCAAGCATGGGAAGCTGAAACAAGACCACAGTGCCAAACCACTGATAAAACTAAATAATAAAACAGGGTTTAATCAGTGAGAGACTCAATGAGGGAGCCCATTAAAAATGAATGGAGAAAAAAAGAAAATTTTACTCAAATTTAAGTCTGAGAGTGCCAACAAAGAGGTTCCATGAACATAACTATTCTTAAATCACCCTCAACCATGGTAAGCCTGAGATGGGGGCCCTTCTGTTATATTACCTCACTGGGTACCTTCTATTATGAATTCTCAGATCAACCACTTTAATGTTTATAATTTTTGTGAGGCACCATATGGAACTAAGCTAGGTCACTGTTGATGGCCTCTCTGGTTCAGAGGGTTCAGAATTTTGGATGAAAAATGTGATCTTACTCATCCTCCAGGAGTGGATAATAAGCTTCTTCTTCCACATTCTGCAGACGATCTCTCAACTGGTCAAGTGACAGAGGAATAATAGTGTCATCATACAAAGAGCTGCTATCCCTCTCCAAGCCAAATACATCTCCATCAACCGTAAACACACTAGAATTTCAAGGCAAGCAAATACAGTTACAATTACCTGTGATAATGAATTAATACATAAAACTTACCTTTCCATACATTTTGCACAATCTTTTTAGTTTCTGGCAGAAGCAAGAATTGTAAATGCAAGTCTGAATCCAACCAATTAGAAATATAACAGAATTGATATGTGCACTAATAGATAATAAATTTTAAAAAGCAAGCAAATATTATTAAATTTTGTGTGCATTACTTGAATGCAAGTCATTAGATGTAAAAGAAAAAATTGAAAAACTGATGAATTAAATCAGGTCAAAAATGAAAATTGTATAAGAAGTGAACACACACTGTGTACCACCTCACAATGTGATCACACTTGCATACAAAACTGCATACAAAGTAGTATTCTAATGCAATATGATGATGTGCATACAAATTGGTCAGATCCCAATGTGAGATGAAAACTTCCATACAAATTGGTCACATCTTGATATGAGACATTACATTGCTTACAATGGTAACATCCCATTGTGAGATAAAAAGCTCCCATACACTATAACAACATCTCAATATGAGATCCATACTCGCAAAAAAGTAGTCACATTTTCATGTGAGATAAAAACTCGCATACACAGTGGTCACATCTTGAAGTGAGATGCATACTCGCATACCAAGTTGTCACGTCTTCATGTAAGATTAAAACTCGCATACACAGTGGTCACATCTTGATATGAGATGCATACTGTACACAGTATAAAGTGGTAACTTCATGTGAGATATAAACTCACAAAAAAAAAAAAAAGGTCATAACATGATGCAAAGGTGCATACTCGCATACTAAGTAGCAATATATTCTGTGTTAGCTTTTTAAAATGTTTTAGCTTTTTTAAAATTGTTGCAGGAGCATGCTACATGCTACAGACCTGCTACTTATATTGCTGCCTTGACGGTTTTGCATGACAAGAATGGCCCTAAAAAAAGTAGGATGTTGATCAGGTCATTCGTGAGAAAATAGATGGTCTGGTCCAACAGAGGGTGCAACCTCATGTGAAGGGCTTACTTTTACAAGGTATGCTTACAAAATTATATAATGCCATGCGACAAGAAATTGCATATCCAAATACTGCTTTAAAATCTTTTGCAAACATTACGTAAAAAACACAAAATTTCTCATAACCATATATTGGTGAAACACCAAAAGTTTGTCTTATTAAGTAGGATGGTGATCAGGTCATTCATGAGATAATAGATGGTCTGGTCCAACAGAGGTGCAACCACATGTGTCAGGCTTACTTTTGAGAGGTAATCCTTTATTAATGAAATACCAAAAATTTGTCTCAAGGCCAACTCGGATAGCATTGTACGATGCAGCTCAATTACAACACGAATGTACCTGACGCAGTCTCATGACTGCCCATCATATCGTCACTGAAATCACGAATTAACACAATCAAAGTAGATTGTGTTAGTTCGTGAAATCACAGAATTGCGTCTTAACGAGCGCCTATTGGTTGTCAGGCACTTTTGTCTGTAACAACAACATCGCATATTTTGATGCACTTTTTTAACTATTACAATCAGATTTAATTTGATTGTGTCAGTTCGTGTTGTGTTAGTTTGTATTGTGAGCGACGATATCTGCATTTAACTCGTACTGACAAGACACATGTCAGGCTGTGTCATACAACGACATCCACATAATGTTTGTTACGTAACATTTCAAATGGTACGACGATGTCCAAGATGGCCTTTACATAACAATTAAAATAGCTCCATGTTGATTAATGATTTTCTATAATTCCTGATACGAAACCAGAAATTATATCAATCAATATAAGATACATAAACCTGGATATCAAAAATCACTATTGCAAATTCCAAAATACCCCTTGAAAAAATGGAACAGTCACCTGTGGTAACATTCACAATTCTATAACTATACCATTGAGTGCTAACTAGCAAGATGCTTAGAAGCATTTGTACTGACATACAAGAGTGCCATAGTTCTAGGGTTGACTAGATCAAATGATAAATTTTTAAGAGCACTATAGTTGTCTAAACATTGCATCAACTTTCATAGATATTCCTACAAAAATCAATATTTTCTTATGGTATTTTGAACAAAACAGTACTTAACTGCAACTTTTCATTTCAATGGGTGCAATATTGGTCATTGAACAGTTTTAAAAATCACATTTTCTGGGTGCTGTTTTAAAATTATGGACATCTTCAATTGTTCTTGATGTAACATTTGAAATTTTTTTAGAATCTTAATCGTGTGCACGGCCGTCCCAAGGCAAAACAACGTAACTGACATTGTTGTCGATTTTGAGATAATATCATTTCAGAGTATATTAAACACTTCTGAATTACCTGAAAATGTCCATTATTTATCTTTTATGCTCGAGAGGTAAGTTCCAAAGGAAACTTAGGCATTTATTGGTTTATCCAGGTAAGTATTCATGAAATAGACTTCAGCTCCCAACAAAGAGTTGCTTCAGAGATAGCACCACATATCTTTAAGTACAAAACTTAAAACCTAGTGATATTCCATGGTAAAACAACTTAACAGCAAGATTACGGGGCAAAACAACATATCTATTTTGATTTCCAATTTGAATGAGGACCAATGAAGAATTATTATTATTATTATTATAATTATTATTATTATTATTATATTAATATCATTATAATTATCATTATCATTATCATTATTATTATTATCATTAACGACTTTACCTTGCAACTCCACATATTGGAGGATGTGATCGAATCAGTCCTTTTTTCTTCAGTTCACTTTCCAAGTCTCCTCCAGCCAATCCCCACAGATAGTACACTTCCTCTATCGATCGCATGGCAAGATGATCAATATCCGCTAAAAAATAATCATTTGTCTGTGGAAGTATGTTGCTTGCTTGGTATCATAGAGCCTGAGTCTCTAATAAATCCTTGGTTTTAATACCAAAGTTTTACATAGCTTGCCTTTAAGTAAACAGTATCAGCACTCTTTTTTAATCACAAACGTTATTTGGCTTTTTCCCTTACTGGGGTCTAGAGTTTTCCAAGTGGGAGAATCCAGTTGCTCTAGGCTTTGCTATGGTTCATGCTCTGTTTTAGCCCTAATAAAGCTTTTTTTTAATACCTAAGTTTGTGACATAGCTTGAATAAAAATAAACATTATCAGCAAGGTAATTGTGGTGTTAATATTTTGTAACCCAAATTTGGATTAGCTTCTTCCCTAACAGGGGTCCAGGGTTCCCCAATGGGGGAGGGGTCCGGTTTCCTCTCATTGGCGCCTCAATTGCTTGAGCACTAACAGGTTTTCAGGCCATGTTTTAGTCCTAGATGCGACTATTTTATGATTTTATTTAAAACTCATCAATAATGAGGGTAAAATAAGGCTACTAACAAAAAAAAAGATAATACCCCATTGTCCATTGACAATCTCCTTACCTATTTCATTTGCTTCTATGTACTCTTCCAACTCTAGTTTTTCACAGCGAATCCCTGGGTACTGGAACATTGTTTTCTGGCTTCTGTAATCTGAATCCGCAGGCATGAATCCTTTGAACACGGGATCCTGTAGCAGTTCCGAGGGTGTCGGTCTAAATTTGAATACCAAGATAAATAACTGCCAATTACTTCTAAATATAGTACAAAAACTATCAAGGGTTCATTAACCTGAAGAAAGTGACTGAAACAGTTGCAAAAACCATTGCTAAGGTAGGCAACTATATTGGTTCAACAAAACAGATACAGTAATATTTTTGCTAACTACTAGTGTCTGCCATAGTTCTATATTTTTTACTACTAGACTTTACAAGTACATCTGCTAAACCTGCAACATAGTGCTACTAATTATTACTTTTACTATTACTATTTGCGGTTGGCGCATCGCTTGTGGCTTGGACTCCTAACCTTGAGGTCAGGCGTTTGAAACTCTCGCTGTGCAAGTTGCTTGTGTCCTTGGGCAAGGCACTTTACTACGCTTGTCTCTCTCTATCCAAGAGTATAAATGGATACCCAGTGGTTCACTACTGCTGGTCACCCTAATACACAATACCGAGGCTTAGTACGATGTGCTAACAGCTCATTCCCCTACGTTCAACAGAAAAACGGGACTACCTTTCACTTTACCTATTACTACTGCTGCTGCCACTACATTTCTATACATATCTTTGTCATCTATTGAAAAGATGAAAATAGAATACAAATGTGGCAAAGACAAGCCAAACCGGTCACTTGTTGCAAAAATCAATTTTTAGTTAATAATACAGTTTTACACAGTAAAATGAGAGCTATAAAATTGTAAAAGAATCATTTAAATCCAAAGTTATGAAGTTACAGGAGTTTAAACATACAGCTGTTTACAACGTAATATTTGAGAAATCAGCCTTCAAAGTTTATGATTTCAGGCATTTCTCAGGCAGAAACCATCACCAAATCATTAAAAATTGTTGTTTTAACATTGAAAATGGAGAAAATAACAGCATATCATAGATATATAAAGGTTATTTTAGTGCATTAAAATAGATTTCAAAAATGTTAACATTCCAGCAGATTTTGGCCATTATCTCTAAAACAGGATTTGCGATGTGAGTGACTGTTTTGGCTTGTCTTGCCACAAATACAAACATACAGTATTTTAATTTGGTACCGCCCCCCCCCCCCCCCCCCCACTTACCTATTTTGATATTTTCCTAATCCCACCAATACTTACAATATCATCGAATCAGAATTAGGAATTGGTTTAAGAATGGTGTAACAACAGCTACTGCCTAACATTTACTCCTTTATATTTCTATTTGTGTGTAGTTTGAAAACTGTGTGCATTAACTTATGTACCTTTCTCTTACAGACAGGGTCAAGCATCGCCTCAAAAGAGATTGGAAGCCTCCTGGTAATACCTTCAGAAATATAAAGCAGTTAAATACATTATAAGTGTGTGTAACCATTAGAAAAATGAAAAATAAAAGAGTGTTCAAAGTTTAGTCAAAGATGCAAATTCAACAACAATGTATGTTTTTTTATATCCAACAAACATAGAAATAAGATACAATAATGATAGAAGGCAAGTAAAGAAAAAAAATGGTGGGAATAATGTCATAGTTAATTAATAATAATTAATAATATATTTATCTAAGCACACATATGAGGCTGCCATCCTAAAACCAACATCAGTGACCTAAAAATGAAAATTACCTTTTTAAAATAATTATTCTTATCCTCCCTCCACATTATAAGCTTTAAAATGGTGCGTCTTTCGCTGGAATCGATTTACTATTGGCAAAGTTATGTAAATTGGTGCAATACAGTAGCAGCAGCAGCTAAATGTAGTAAAAGCTGCAGCAGCCATCTGATGCACAAGACAAAAAAAATTATTTGTATATAGCACCCTCTATAAAAACAATCATGAAATAAAGTACCCTCTGTTATCTTTTTTTAAATTGTAGGTGAAACTGCTACGATTAGTCGTCATTGAGTATAGTTCGTTAAAAGAAATTCATATGGCCTGTACTCGCATTTTAATGATGAATTCACTTCACTGTTATGAATTTTAAGGTATAATCGACCTATACATTTTATCGTGAGACGTAAAAAGTGGATGCTCATGCATGAGACTCATGCATTATGCATGCGAGTTGGCACTTGTAACAATGCTTACCTCAAACTTGTTCCGTGCACCATGATCATCAAGAATAGTATCCAAAGGATGCTGCTTATTGCCATGTTTCCCTAGCAACAACACCTTAGCAATCTGCTGCTGGAGCGTATAAGCCGACCACAGCTCTAGACCCAGACACACCTCCAGCACAATCAGTCCCAGTGACCAAACATCTGGCTTTGGTCCTAGAAGCGAGGTCTTTGCTTTGGCCTCGGAGCCTGAACCAATCTTATCTTGTGGCCTGGACATGAGAGGGCCCTGAGCCAGGACTTCCGGTGCTGTGTACTTCGGATATCTGAGCAAATTGGTAAATAAAGATATATAGGTAAAAGTTACAAGTTAATTTTTTTTAAATTAAAGAATGAATTCAATACACTGTATCTTCATGTAGCCATTTTTCCTTTTTTTTTAAACAAATACAGATTTCCTACAAGAAGTCTGCTTGTTTGACTCTTAGCAATATATGTTATCGATTGGAAAACTTGCAATGATAAAAGATAAGCTATCTATGTTGTATGTGGGACACATGGCACGGCATATAAACAGGCCTAGGCCTAATAGAAATGAGTTTTTTCAGATTCACCTGGTCTAGGCCTACTGTAGCCTTTTCCTCCAACTAGGGCCTAGGCTAAGCATGTTACTAAGGAGTACTGTACAGTCAAACCCATCTTTCAGGCTTTTATTTGGCCACTAATGAAATAAACCTTGCAAGACAGAGTATGTAGGCAAATTATATAGGACTTTATTTTCATAACACTTTTCAATTTACAGGATAAGATCTCTGGACATAGTTTTTTCTTTTTAGGTAATAAAAATCATCATCCATACATATATATATATGCTATATATGCATGTATGTACCTAAAAACTAAACACACATCCATTGTCTAATCAATCAATAATATTAATTCATCCCACATAGGGCAAATATAAAAAGCAGGACTAAAAAAAAAATAAAAAAAAAAATGATAATTGAAATACATTATTGTTGAGATGGATTTTTGAGGGGTGTTTATTCGAGAGAGGCATTTATTCAAGGGAGGCTTTATTTTTAACAAAATAAATGCCCCTCAATTTCACTGTAAAAGTGGAAAGATTACATTTCCTAGGTCGTCAACTTACCCAATAGGGAACATGACAGCTGACCCTACATCGGTCATGTGACACATCCCATAATTACTCAGCTTCACATGCCCCTAGAAAGACATCACAACAAAAAACATATTGATATTATACATATTAATGGAAGAGATGATGTTTAACTATGTTGCAGTAAGTAAGATTTTTTATACCTTATTTCACAATTTTTTTTTTAAGAACATCAGAGGAGGGCAAAAAAAACCAGAGGGGGGCAAAAAAAAAAAAAAAAAGAATAAAAATTTAGTTTTTAATTTTTATTTAAATTTTATAATAATTTTATTCTTATTTGAAATAACCATTTATGGCGGGCGGCGTGTTTGCTAAACAAGTTATAAAAATAGTATTGCCTAATGCTTAAAAAAAATATACAAATTTTAAACAGTAAGGAGAGTATAAATTGAACACCCAAACTGAAATGTAACTCAGGTTTTAAAATATTGATAATGCAAGTTATGGTAATGTAAAAATGATGACAACAATTCTGTCATATACTAGAGAGATATTCCCAACCAACAACAGTTCTTTTCAGAACTACCTACGTGGTGTACCACAAGCATTAATATATTAATTCTGTCATTCAAAATTTTTTGTTCATCAATCACTCAAATAAACAGATAATATAATAATATTATAATAATACAATGTTAAGATGATGAAAAGGACCAAAAATACTCAAAAGAGCTTGCAAATCAAGGTGTCCTAAATGAGAAATAACAATAATATAATGTTTAAAATGCAAAAGGTGATGATGTTTTATGGCTTGCTATGTTGATGTTGTACAATTAAAATAATGTCAACAGTGGTGACGATGACAACGAAGACAATATGTCCACAACAATGACAACAATGAATGTTATGTTTTAATAATGAATGTTGCAATGATGATGATGATGATGATGATGTTTGCGTAAGAGATTATATCAACAATAATATTCAAACCAATGATGTTCGTGGAAAAATTAACAATTAACACATTGACTGCCTGAGCTTCATTTAAGGTTCCTTCCCATATGCCAAAACAAGTTTACATGTACAAACATACTTTTTTTGAAATTTCATCTGGTCATACATGATCATAATAATGTGTCTCTAATAAATTGGCGGGAAAATATTAGGGGACAAGTAAACTCGTCGACAGCACTGTGATAGCACTTTTTATTGACTATGCCAAGTGTGAGTTTTCTTGTCCGCTTTTTGCATGGGTTGGTATATGTTCAAAGGGTGCCCCCAATTGTGCCGCTTGAGTGTACTGCCAGCAAAATTACAGAACAAACATGCATACGTCATTTGTACATTATCGTCTAGGTGTATCTTCCCTGAACTACCAGCCGTTAAGTCTTTGATTCTACAATATATAACAAAGAAGTGATAGACGCTAGAATGTTACCCTGATTTTGACAGGTATAGTCGTCCCTGGCGCCCTCAGCAACACCCTGTGGGACGAGTATACTCGTCACTGGCAGCCAACGTGTTAACCATATTGATAATAAATATCAATCAATAATCAACAATTAAAAAATATTAATTTGCTGACCTTCTTGTCCAAGAGTATATTTTTGGGAGCAAGCAACCTGTGAACAATTCCTTTTTCATTCAGGAATTTCAATCCATCTAAAACTTGAAAGGCTATTTCTAATATCTGTTGATGGCTGGAAATAAATAACAGATAGATGAGAGGAGAGAGAAAAGAAAATTGTATTGAAAGCACTACTTGACACCTTTGTAAAAGTTGCTATTTAAAACTCATATTGATTTCATTTTTCAGTGCTTCGCCTTTTTCTCTGGATCTGCCCTTGTAAAAGTGAACTTGTGAACTGTGAACTATGAACTAATATTATAACTATTATACTGTAACTTTCAAAAAGTACATACTTGCTTTTAGTTACATTGTTATAAGTCTCCTGCAAGTTGTCTTTGTAATATTCTGTCACCAGCATCAGCCTCTCTGTGGAAGCAAATAATTATAAATATATGATCAAAGTGATTACTGTATATAATCGCGTATAAGAATCAGTGTAAGACATTTTTGTTCACTTTATCCTTACGATAAATACACACTAAATTATCTGTTTAAATTTTCATTATTGTATTATTAGGCATTGTTTAATTTTAGGCCACACCCCTAGGCCAAGACAATCTTCAAAATAATACCATTTTATTTTGAAGATTGTCTTCAAAATAATACCATTTTATGGGCTTTTTGAAATGTTAATCAAAATCTTATTTCCCAGTATTTAAGATTGTGCTAATTGATACAAACATTTAATAGATTCACTGCAGAAGTAAATTTACATGTTACAGACGATACTTACATAAGACAAACATTTAAAAAAAAATTTAACATATGTATGTCGTGCCTATAAAATGACCCCGTTTTTCGATTGTAATTTGCTATTTTAAGCCACGTCTTATACGCGAGTATATATGGCCTACCAATTACAAGTCAGTAATGTATACTAAATTACCACCTCACTGGGAAAATCCCAATTGATGGTTATTAACACGGATTTGCCAACTATTAATAGAAAGAAAATGTTCAAGATTTTCTCTACTGTACTTCAACAATGACGACTAAAACAAACTCATTATTTTGAACTTTCTTAGTTTTTACAGTTCAGCTGAAAAATTTCCTCTAAAGAAAGTTTTGTATAGATTCACAATCATTTTATTTTATTGTTATTATCGGAAGAGAAAGCCCAGAAAAAGCCTTTTCCAACATAGTACCTATATATTATCAAATATGTATAGACCAATCATTTACAGTAATTATTCTTCCTGTAGATCTCACAGCTGGGGAAATCTGGTAGAAGACTTTTTAGTACGCATTATCTGTATACTAGAGTCATTGTACATACAGTAATTTCCATCGAAATCTATTCTAAATAATTTGCACTTCTGTACATTGACAAGACATGCATGTAGTAGAGACAACAAGAAAGCCTCAGCATTGGCAGTGCAGACAGAGAGCGCCCTAATTCAATTTGTCTATATAAACAACAAATTTCAGGATGAACACTATGTTCTCATAGAATAAAGTTTTACTGTAATTGACCCCTTACCATGCTTTCCTCTGATAATCTCTATATACTGACATAATCGTGGATGACTGATCGTTTTTAAGTACTGAAAACGTCCAAATATTTTGATGGAGTTGGGAGTGAGGGGTAAACCGTCAGACCCACATTGGTCATGGCCATGCGATGCTGCACAGAACGTGGACACCCCTAGGAAAGCTGAATTCAAGGGCTGCATTCTGAATAAAAGAAAAACATTATTGAAAATAATTATTATAATTTCACACATGACAATATGAATTCATAATAAAGGCCTTGGCCTGATGACGTACATGACTTAAATTGTTATAATAGGCCTACACAGGATACAGCACAGGCTTCCGAAAATACCTTAATAAATAAAATAGGCATCCATATACAGTACTAGGCCTAGTAAGTAGGCCTTCTAAGGTGCTAGCTTGGCCTAGCTAGGTCCATGGTTTAGCTATCATAAATTTCAGTGGCGGACCATCAAGGCAAGCAAGGTATGCAGTGCATACCCTGGCTAAAACTTTAAATAAATATTTGTACAGTTTCTCCGTTTTATTTAGCATTTCATAACCACAATCTTCTATACAAACCTTGATTGCTACAGTTCATTGGAATAGTAAAGCTTTTCAATATTTGGCCTATTTTAAGATAAGTCACACCTGGGCGTATCGCATCGTACACTCAGCTGCTTAGAATTTCCGCATGGCTGGTTTTCAATTTTAGTCATTCGCATATTTAGTGAGGGTAGCAGGTCAAAATGGCAATAAACCAAATAAGGCAATGACTACACAGCAATAACCAAAATGACAATGAAACAAAATGGTAATGACAAGTACCAAAACGGCAACAGACCAACACGGCAATGACAAGTACCAAAACGGCATAAACCAAAATTTTCTGAATCGTTTTGAAATCATTGTCCCAACAGGCAAATCGAATATTGCCATGGCCTCATTTTCTCACTTTTAATGTTTATTATTATTTCACATTTTTTTACTTTTACGACATAAATTGTTTAGCCTTTAAATTTTGTCTGTTTTTGAAGGTTTTATTTGTTTAAATGTTTTACTGCTTTTATTGATACCCCACATATTGAATTTATATTACTATTATTATTATTATCATTTATTATTATTAATGATATTATTGGTGCTGCTGCTACAGTATTTAGCCTAACTTTTACCATATTTAATCGTAGTACACTTTCATGTTTATAATTAGTTTATTTTTTCGCGTTTCTACTTTTATGACAAATTGTTTAGCATTGTTTTGGTCTTGCCATTTTGGTTTTTGCCATTTTGGTCATTGCCATTTTGACTTACTGTTGTTTTGGTTTATTGCTGTTTTGCCCAGAAACCTCAGTGAGTTGTGGTGGCCTTTGAATAGCAATCACAGTCACACTAATTACACTAATACTAATTACACTGGCAATCAGGTAATTTGTATTGCCAGACATTCTATAAACTCAATGATTAAAGTTAAAATATATGTACTGTATGCATACATACATATGATAGGTACAGAAGAAACTTGTATTAATTGAAATTTGTTGAACTTACAGGAAGAGGAATTCTTCTGAAAAGAAGAAAACTAAAACCATGCCGTAAAAAAACGAACATACATTTGTATTTTGAATAGAACGCAATTTTTGATTACAGGCTAACCAGGGAGTTGATAACTCACATGGGCTAACCAACTTTTCCTACTAGCAAGCCCTAGCACAAGTGGCATATCTAGATAGAAGTCTTGAAATGGAAGGAGAGTTGTTGGGAGGGAAGAAGGGGAGGGAAGTGAGGGGGAAAAATTAGGTGTGGGGTACGTAACTCGAAAAATAAAGTGATTTGAGGTGTTATTTTCACTAGGCTACTTGAGTTCGAGCATGATTTTAGGGGAAACTGGGGGAGGGGCCAAGTATTTTTTGGGGGAAGGAGGCCGTGCACCATCATGCACTCGAGCACTAGGCCTGCCCTAGATAGGCCTATGCACCACTCACTCATGCCTCATACCCTTCAATTTACCCTATGTACGGTCCACCACTGATATACATGATATTTGAAATGAAATTGAGTCAGGCCCATAAGCCCAGGAACTGCATATTATACTGGCCTATATGCCTAGAGTGTCTGTGTCGTGCTGGCTGAAGCCTGGCTACAGACAGCAGTACGGGATGATAATTGTGAGACAGCCTGGCCTAGCTTGCCTAGCTAGCCATATAGGCTAGGCCTACTACTAGGCCCTACCCTAGGTCAAAATTAGCCAGACGTAGATTAACTAGAGCTTCCTTTTATATATAATGGGATGTAAATGCATTTGATTATTAAAAAAACAAAATTGTATTACATGAGAATACAATCTTTGGAAGTAACAAAACAAAATCAAGCATCTAGCCTACTCCCCGTCTTCCGAAATATGGTCGCATCCATGTTGATGTCAAAGTTCATTGCCTCCACTCCCTTTCACCTCTCAACACAGGATCGGAGGAAGCGAGCCACGTGAATTTCACTGCAATCTTGAATCAGATACCCGTTCGAAGGGACATATTTTGAGAATTTGTGTCTGCATGTGAGCCTTTGTTAATTATTACACGATTTTATGTTTTTATGACCAAAAACATCGTATTTCTATCTATTATAGGCCTAGCCCAGGGCCTAGGCTAGGCAAGTAGTAGTCTACTCTCCTTGTTCTCTGACTGACTGACTCAATCAGTCTCCAACTAGCTCACCAACTTCTAGAGGCCTAGGCCTAGCCTAACTTGAAATTTTCACTTTTTGAGAAAAAAAATTGGCATATACAATACAGACATTATGATTAGGCCTATAATATGTAAAGTTTAACGTTTTTCACAGTCTACATACAGACACTGTACGTTTTTTACCCCGGAAGTATGTATTGTTTAAAAAGGCACGGTAACCGGGATATGACCGGTTGAGCCGCCGGTAATTTCTATGGAACGCCAAGCACGTCTCTCAGTTAATGTAGTGCGTCTCTCAGTGAATGTCATCAGTGAATGAACCCCGGCTTGCCGATATCATCAGTGAATGAACCCCCCCCCCCCGGATAAATAAATAAATAAATAAATACCAGCTACATATTCATCCCACAGTCTTGTCAGTCGTTGATTTGCTCGTATTGCCGTTCTTGATGTATAATTGGGTAATTGAAAATTAGAATTTTGATTATTTTATGTACTACATTTTTATAAAAATAAATGAAGTTGTATAATTGCAAAATCGTATTAAAAATGTGATTATTTACGTTTGGTTTGCGGCGTATTTCAATTAACTTATTTGTTATTTGTACTATTTTGTTAAATTATTCAATTAAATTATTTATTATATATAAGTTTAACAAATAATACAAAAATAAAAATATATAAATTATAAAACCATAGTAAATACTGTATAATAACATAGGCCTAACACATTTAAATTTATTGTTTATAGTCATGCAAAATCGTATTAAAAATGTAATAACTTGATTATTTTTTATGTTTGGTTTGCGGCGTATTTCAATTAACTTATTCCTTATTTGTACTATTTTGTTAAATTATTTAATTAAATTATTTATTATATATAAGTTTAACAAATAGTACAAAAATAAAAAGTGTATGAATTACAAAACCATAGTAAATACTGTATAATAACATAGGCCTAAAACATTTAAATTTATTATTTATTATTCATGCAAAATCGTATTAAAAATGTAATAACTTTATTATTTTTTACATTTGGTTTGGTAAATTCTTATCATTTATTATATATAATGATATATAATAAATATAATTTAATTAAATAATTTAACAAAATAGTACAAATAACGAATAAGTTAATTGAAATACGCCGCAATTAACGCACTACATTCTAAGAGACGTACTTGGCGTTCCATAGAAATGACCGGCGGTTCAACTTGTTGGCGGCTCAACCGGTCATAATCTCGGTAACCCGTATTGTCGCAAGTGCGACCTACATGTTCTTTTAATCGCATCTGTGGCATTATCTAGCTTGTGCATACGTAGCTTTTATAAGATTTGATATGAAGACACCATCAACCAGTGGGTTTTGCTGTGCCAAACTCCATCATCTCAAAACGATTTTTTGAATACAATTCCTAGGCAAAACAGTGTATCTACATCATAGATACATTGTTTTCCCCCGTAATCTTGCAAAATGGTAAACCACGAAAAATCACTAGATTTTAATTAAGTTTTGTGCTTCAATAAAGATAGGTGGTGCTCGCTAGAAGGCTGGGCTAAGTATGTATGTAGGCAGGGTTGGGGCCAGTGGGAAAGTTTAGGTGGAGATTTTTTGTTAGACTCTAAAATCAGGGGAGATGTAATAGTAAAACTTCAAAAGGAAAAAGAAAATCGTAGCTATAATGCTATGGTACTGTGTATTAGTTACAGTAGGCCTATATGTAAACATATACTTTAATTTTTTTACATTAGGCATTAACTTAGTCCATCATTTTAATAATTTTTTTTTGATTCAGGTTTTTGTTGCGGACTACAACAAAAAGACTAAGAATGGCAAGTTCAGCAGTGAAGCAACGTCTGGAACAGAGAGCCCAAGAAGCGGACCAGTTGATCAGTCAATTGAAAAAACAAGTAGATCAACTGAGAACTTGTGCAGGTACAGTTCTACTAAAACAGCACTCTGCAAACTTTCTAATTCACAGCCTACTTGAGAATCTCGGCACCAAGCCTCGACCCTGCCACACAAAAGTCTGATCATGAAAATTACCTCCATGTTTCCATGGGCAACATCTCTTCCCTCAAAAATGTTCTGTTGTGCTGCAGCCCATAGTTTGCAGATCGTCATGCCAGACCTGTCCCCACTTTTAAAGAAAGTGCCCTTTAAATATGCTCGCTTCACTCACAAATAACACACCCCGCGAATTCTGAAAGCTTCGCTAAATTGCTACAAGTTCAGCTTGCCCCCTGCGCTTTCGTTTCGACCCCCCTTAGATTTTTCACCGTACGCCCCTGTCACCCGATATTTAAACAAATCTCCATTTCACCCGATTGAATGTAAGTTCCACCCGATTTCACAAGCCACCCCACCTCCCCAAAAATACTCCGATTTATGCATAATTTGATCGTTATTATTCAATGTATTCGCCACCTGCTCGCTTCGCGGTGCCATAAACAAGCATCAATTTTTAATTCGAATGTCGAATGTTAAGATTCTTTAAAAAATCTCCAGATTTTCATGACCCAAGGATTGGCAGGTCTGTCATGCTATAATAACCTAAGCTGTTTTTAACAGAAGAATCACAGCCCATGCTTTTTTCTTTGCTGATCTACTTTTTTAATAATTTACTTATGTTTTTCATTGTTTTTCATTTTTTTTTTTTAGTAGCATCTGGAAGCTCAAGTGGTGCAAGTCTTGCTGTAGAAAATGCTCAACTGCGATTGAATATTGAAAGACTGAAGACAAAATTGAATGAGCTAGAAGCTAGAAATGGATGTAAGATTTGTGACTAAGTACTTGTAACAGAAAGTGACCAACTAAAGTCTAATTTGTACAGTAAAACACCTATTACGGGGATACTTTCTAGAAAACCATAAAAGTGTCCCTTTGATAGGAGTGTCCCCTTTATAGGGGTTAGCCATAATGTTAAATATTTTCCCTTCATTAAAGTGAAAATTAAAGAGGCCCTTAATTAGGGATTGTCCCCTTAACACTCTGCCCGCCAAACACGGAGATCTCAGTGTTTGGTAATGCAACACTTGACCGCCAAACACGGAGATCTCCGTGTTTCAGATTTTTTTTTACGGAATCCGATAGAAGAGGTAATTACCGACATGTGCAAACAATTTACACTAATATATACACTATATTCAGTCTGGACTGTAAGTATTTCACTATTTGAAAGTATCCAATCTGATAAAAGAAGATTTGAAGTTGAGTCGCAGCTAGCTCAGATAGCACGTCGTATGAGTGCCACTGAGGCATTCGCTGAAATTTGTGCGGGTTCTGGCAAAAGTATATCATCAAATGATGTAAGGTGTACAGCTTCAGAACATTTGCTAAAATGTCTGGCGATGGCCGATACTATTTTTTCAACCCCCCTGGTGGTCAGAGTGTTAATAGTGGCATCCCCTTAATTCTAAAAAAAAAGAAAATTTTTTTTTTGTTTTCCTTGCAGTTGTACAGGTCAGTCTACCAAATGCAGGAGGTAAATCTTTAACACAAAATGTAACTCCAGTTGTTGCTAATGAGCCTGCTCCTCCAGTTACTCCTGTACAAAAGGCAGGAGAAAGTAAACCAAAGAAAGAAAAGAAAGGTATGAGCGAATACTTCAAAACTCTGCTGCTTGTGTTGTAAAACTTTCTAAATGGTTTACCCATATTACTTTAATTTTAAACCTTCACTGGCTTCCGGTAGATGCGTATCATTTTTAAAATTATTCTTCTTACTCAAAATCCATCCGTGGTCATGCTCCATGTTATCTTTGTTTATCTTATGACAAACATGTTCCTTTGTGTTCTACTCTTTCTTCCCAATCCCTTTAACTAACTACTCCATGAGTCAAACATATTCATACAGGTGAACACTACTGTAGTTGAACACACTTTTTCTGTTTCTGCTCTGGAGCTCCCTGCCCCCAAATAGTATCATCTGACCTGGAATTATTCAAATCCAACCTTATATCTTTCCTCGTTAAGTAACTCAACTTCTTTTAACAGCTTTGAGAAATGTGATTTAATATTATAGTTTATAAAGCGGCATATCCATCTAACATAAGATACTCCGGGCACTTGATATGTGGACTATGATTTTCTTACCCCTAAGGGTCCTTTCGTGTCTGTGCTACCCAGTAACTTGGTACCAGCAACTCTGCTCATCCACCAGAAGGGTTTTCTGTTCTAGTACACCGGGGTATCTCCCTACTCATCTCAAAAGATGTACAGTCAACTCTCCCAATACCGACCACCCAGAAAACCGGATTTCACACAAAACCGGTCGTTTTTTAAAGTCCCAAAATCATTCCTATTCTTACTGTATTAAAATACTTTCTGAAAACCGGATCTCCCAATTCCGAATTCCGGCCAAATTCTTAAGTCCGGAACAATAAAATTACCTTCTGAAAACCGGACGGCCGGTTTAAAACGATGATTTATTGACGAAATATGTTAAATAAATCATCGGAGACATATCGACTGACTCCAAATAACAACTATTAATCACAGAACAATACCACGTGTACGATCGTTAGTGTTGATCGTGTGACGCGCCAACAGTGCATTAATTAATTAATTGCAATAAGCCTAGATTTCATTTGTTTAATAAACTGATAAAAAAAAGTTCATGAGTGTGTTTTCTTTATTAAGGAACGTATCCTTTTCTCACATTTTGCATTCATTCTCACGCTAAGGCAAACCAAGCGGTCCCAACATAAGGCTATCGATTTCATAAAAACAATTGCGCAATTTGACTGTCACCTCTGACTGTTTTCTATTGGCTGACGCAGTTTAAGTTAGCACTTATTTTTAGCATTCAGTGACCCACTAAGGTTATGCCAGCGGCATCGAAAACAAATCGAGCATGCAACCACGTTGAAGCGAAGCAGATTATGGCGATCGAAAGAAAAATAACACTGACACTTATTATAAATTACAATACACATTAAGTTGATTTGTGTAAATTTTTATTGATAATAGACTTCGACACAAAACAATAGGTACGTACAACATAAATAATGAAAAATAAAGTAAAACATGAATTTTAAATGACGTTCTCAGGTCAGTAGGCATACACAGTACATGATGCAGTGTGGTGTACCTATCTGCTGTACCTTGCTAGGCCTAGGCTCGACTCAAGGTCGGGGAACCAAGGTAGGTAAACATGACGTTCTCTAAACCGGTTCGTCTGGAAAACCGGTCAAAGTGGACGGTCCGAAGGGTGGTCGGTATTGGGAGAGTTGACTGTACTGGGTTCTTTATAATGCACACTAGCCATTGTAAATACTGGAACTACAGTTTATAGTCCCTATCTGAGAAAACTTGTTCTACCACCAGAACCATAGGCGAGCGTGCCATTCAAACCAGAGCCGATATTATGGCTGTATCTTGCGGTGCCCCTGCTAACTGCTCGGCCATTTGACTCGTTTATTATTATTATTGTTATGAATATAGAAAAGAAAGGTGGTGGCAAACCTCCAGAAAAGAAAGACGATGTCCCTGTAACAATATCAGCGATGGATCTTCGCATTGGCAAGATAGTTGGCGTTAAAAGGCATCCTGATGCCGACTCGCTTTATGTTGAAGACATCGATTGTGGTGAAGCAGAACCAAGAACCGTAGTCTCTGGACTTGTGAATCATGTACCTATTGAGGAGGTAAGGCACTAAAAAATCCTTTGTTTTTGCTTTATTTCCATATTTATTGAGTGTTTTCTAGAGTGAACAAAGCACTGAACAAAGAAGTAATTAAACAAGGAGCTGTGTTGGGGAGTCATCCCGATCCAGATGTCAATCACCTTGAAACTCACCTTGTTGACGTTCCCAGCCTGCATTTATGAATTCATATCTATTGATTATAATTTGCAGATGCAAGACCGTATTGTAATCATCTGCTGTAATTTGAAGCCAGCTAAAATGCGTGGAATCTTAAGCCAAGCAATGGTAATGTGTGCTAGTGGTGATACAGTAGAGTTACTCACTCCCCCTGCTGGTAGTGTCCCTGGCGACAGAATCAGTTTTGATGGTTTTCCATGTAAGTTTATTTTATGAAATATATATTCTTGTTTATTTATTTGTATGTCAAAAATAACTGATGTACAATGAAATTTGTTGTTGCAGCAAAAAAAGCTGAATTGAAAGCAGAGTTGTTAAAAGATATAGACTTAAAATATTCTGTACATTAAGAAAGGATAAAAGAAGTAAATGTTGACATTGATTGATTGATTGATTGATTGATTGATTGATTGATTGACATTAGAAATTGAATTACAAATAAGAAACACATTAGAAATATTAGAAATTTTGAATATAATGTAATCACATCAAGAATATAGATCAACATAAAAATGGATTTATACTAGCTATTTCTAATATAAAGTAGAATGCTGGGAGGTTCTCAGGGGCGTACCGTGGGGAGGTCGATGGGTGCGGTCGACCCCCCCTTTTAAAGAAAGTGCCCTTTTAAATATGATTTTTAAAAAAAATCTAGCATAATTAAACTGCGCCTAACATGAAAGTAGTTAATATCAAAATAAATTATCCTTCGCCTAAAAAATGTTTGGTGGCCCTTCCTTTTAATATTTTGATTTTTTGTCTTTTTTTTAAACAATCCATATAAAGTTATACATTTTTAATCAACTTGATACTCTAAGCCCGTGCGCCAGTGGAGTTGTGT